CTCTGCGAAAGGAGCACACCTGCGAGAGCATGGTGTTCTAGTTAAGAAATCTGAGTTCTAGGCTGCATTTAAAGAGCTTGAATAATTGTTTGGTTCAGCATGGTTAACACCCAATGAGATACCCTAGGTTGACATCTTTTTATCCTGAAATTAAAACCCAATTTAATTACTTGTTTCTCGTGATTTGTTTCTTTACAAACTTATCGTTTTAGCTTGAATTTGATCCTATAAAAATAAAGTGTAATATTTGGTCTCTGTGGATTCGATCCTAAAGTGCTACATTGACATACCATTCGATTGTGGTAGTGTGCACATTAGGTTAATTGGTGTGCGTTCGCACGTAATATCATGTAGCTCACTTCTTGAGCAGATATCGGGTAAGTCCAACCTCGATTTTATGTTGTCTTTTGTCTTCCCTGGGACATTCAATATAGTGTTAATGATGTTTTCAAAAAATTTCATCTCAATATGCATCACATCGAGGTTGTGGCGCAAAAGAAGATCTTTTCAATATGGAAATTCCCAAAATATACTCTTCTTGTGCCAATTGTGCTAAACACAATAAGAATCATGCATATTACTGGGAACATGGCAATTCCCACCACGAGGAGCTGTTTCTAGAGCACTGTAGTAATCGATTTGCGCTTCGATTTGTTCTCTAGTTAGATATGGAGGAGGAGTGTCTCTGACAACCCTTTTGTGCATGAACAATGTTTGTTTCTTTGGTATGGGTGGTAAACGGGAAGAAATCGATGGTGACAATCGAACCAACTAGTCTTCCTACTATTCTTCAACTGAAACGCATATGTCATTCCATTACAATATGGACAAGCTAATCTCCCATGTATAGTCCATCCTGACAACATCCCATATGCAGGAAAGTCACTTATGGTTCACAAAAGCATCGCTTGCATTGTAAAATTTGTTTTAATTAAAAAATCATATGTTCTCACCCCTGTTGACCACAAATCTTTCAACTCCTTTATCAGTGGTTGTAGAAAAACCTCGAGAGATCTTTTTGGATGCTTTGGACCAGGTATTAATATGGTCAAGAATAGAAACTCTCATCGCATGCACATCTCCGGTGGCAGGGTCTACAGTGTAAGAAAAACTGGACACAATGAATATTGTCTCCCTGACATTTCAAATGGACTAAATCCATCAGTGCATAATCCAAGATATACATTCCAGCTATTGCTAGCGAAATGTGGATGTACTTTGTTAAAATGTTTCCAAGCTCTTGCATCTGATGGATGAGTCATCTCTCCATCCGTCTGAGTATGCTCGGCGTGCCATCTCATCCCTCCAGCAGTCTCCTCAGATTGGTACAATCTTTTCAATATGTCTGTGATTGGTAGGTACCACCTCCTTTGGTACGGTACCCTATTACACCCTCGACCTTGCGGTTTGAATCGTGGCTTCTTAAAAAATCGACATTGTTCTAACTTCTCATCATCTCCTCAGTAAATCATGCAGTTGTCGATGCAAACGTCTATCATTTCCGAGGGCAACCGAAGACTATATACCAATTTTAAATCTAATAATAAGATTCAGCAGACACATTGTCTTTTGGCAAATACTCTTTAAACAAGTCTACCCATGCATTCATACAGTTTTCAGGTAGATTGTGATCGGTTTTAATATTCATCATTCTAGCAGCCAACGAAAATTTAGTCAGACTGTCTTTACAACCAATGTAAATTGGCTCATTCGCAGCTTCTAACATTTCATAAAACTTTTTTTCATCTAAGTTAGGTTCTTCAACTTCATCATCATCATGAGTTACAAATGCATCACCTACCATATCATGAACCCTACCACAATCTACCATTTCTTCCTCCTGGTGATAGCTATTTTCATTATGCAAATGATCAACCAGTTCAACCTGAAAATTGCTATTACTACTGCTAGCTTCATTCCTACAACTAGCATCTTCTCCATGTTGATACCAAATATAATAATATGGCATGAAACCTCTATTTATTAAATGTTTCCAAACATTTTCACGAGGGCCTAATTTTGTATTGCAGCATTTCCAACAAGGACATAACATCTTACCACTTTCCTGCGTGAGTGGTTTAGAATCTGCTTGATGCATAAACGTCTCCAACCCTTCGAGAAATTATTTCGTCACTCTCCATTATTATCTCTGGGTGAATACATCCACTTCCGCAACTCGAAAATATTTCCAGGACCGGGCATTTTTTTTTCTTTGATCAAGCTTAAAGCTGATTTTTTTCTTGGTGTGTTTGAAATAAATCACAAATGATGGTATTTATAGAAATTTTTGAATCTGAACATTTATTAGAAAATTGCGAGGAAAAGTAGGTACAAAACATGTTTATAGCCAGTTCCTCGCTAATTAGAAGTAAATGAATATTTCCTCATAATTCTGTAGTAATGTTTTACGTGGACTTTACGAGGAAAAGTTGTACTACGAAATTACGAGGAAATGTTCTTTTGCCACGTAGTTTCCTCGTAATTTTACTACGGTCTTACGAGGAAACAATTTTCTTGTTTGTTTACGAGGAACTTACTTTGCTTCTAGTTTTCCTCGTAAAACCAAAGTTATTTTGTAGTAAATTTGCGAGGAAAGATTTTCCTAGTAAAATTTCCTAGAAATTGCAGAGTTTTCTTGTAGTGGTACTTCTTCATGATTTATACGTCCCCACATCTTCGTATTCCTAGGCGAATTAATCCCAAGAAACGAATTCAAAGATAACATAGTTAATGTCTGCACAACCTCCTGGACATCCTCTTCCCACTCACCAACATCCAAAGATAAGACCTCCATCTCCATACCATTAACCATTGTTAAGATTCGCAGCTCTTTGTTAGGATACACATGTGTACGTGACCACGGAGCTTTACAATTAAAGAAATTTTATCTCTTCGCATTGCATCAAGCTCTGCATCAGTGTATTTAAGTCATGGTCGTTGATCAGGTATATTCTCTTTGTTACTACTCCCCTCAGTCTTTTGTCTATCCCATGTTCTTCCCCCACTGTGGTTACGGTTTCCACGAGCACCATCACGAGGTCTAGAGTGACCAGATTGAGCTTCACTACCTCCAACCTGACTCACCACTTGACAGAAAGCACTCTTCTCCATCTTCAATACAATAGCAATGAAGTTAGGTAAGCCTTGTGGATCTTTCATCTTAATGACTTCCTTCATCTCTTTGTTCAAGCCATTATAAAACATTTGTTCCAAGTACCTATCATCCAGGCCAGGAAGTTGTGCTGAAAGAACCTCAAAATCTGAGATATATATAGTCTGCGACAGAACCATTTTGTTTGATAGAAAACAGTCTTGTACTCGGCTCATCCTCATTGGATTCTGAGAATCGCAAAATTAACTACTGCTTGAAGTCTAACCAACCCGTAAAACCACCTCTACGCAACACCCACACAAACAACTTCTTCACCTGTCCCTCAATACACAAAGGAATTTAATCCAATCTCTCCTTAACACGGAAAAGCCCAATCGTGAAAAAATGTTTAATATCAACTAACCAATCCGAAGTGTTAGTACCATTACAACTAGGCATCTCCACTTTCTTCAACATATTCTCTCGACTCGCTAGATTCAAATCACCAGATCGGAAACTAGACGGATAAGAATTTCTAGTTAATTCCGAAGGTCGAAGAGAAACCTGATAAGACGGAATCAATTTTCCTGGATGCGACGACGGCGAAGCATCAGCCTCGTTGAGAATCGATCGTTTCCCCAGGATCTTCAAAGCCTCTTGAATACTTCCCTCCATCTTATCAAATCATCTCGTACTGTTGATTATATTCAGCTGTCTTCTTCATCACCAATTTGTATGAATCACTAAGAAAATCCAACTCCTTCTTCAACGAAACTTCTTCCTCCATCGAATCGACCTGTATCAAAGCACCAGACGGAGATTGTAAGTTTAGTGAAGAATAAGTGTGAAGAACAAGAGAGAGAGTGTAGGTTGAATCCGTAACAAGGGAGAGAGAGAGTAGGGTTTGTTGTTTGCGGGAGAGAGAGAATAGAGTATAGGAAGGATTTTATTTTCCTTAACTTATTTGGTATGCATACAACATATATTTAAAGCTAAACTTGGTGAGAGAAGACAAGAAGAATAACATAAACAAAGCTGGTCTGGCCGAGGGACAGTGACAGCTCCTAAACGGCTCCAAGGCTTAACCAAGACATGTGACTTCTTTCTTATTTTATTCCCACTTGCCTCAGCTGCTTCCCAACGGTCCTGAGGCTTATTTGANTGAGGCTTATTTGAACTCTAGTTTTGCTTCTAAGGATGAAGCTAAACGAGTCTCACACTTGTCTTGCCTTCCAAGTCACATTAGGTTAGGTTTGGTTCCTTGAAATGCAAGACTGTACGGAATACCTTGTATTGCAAGCATGCGCATATCTTGACCTGAATCTTCATGTCTTTGCCTTCTCTATCTCTTGATCAATAGAGATGAGGTACGAGAAATCATCGCGACTTGTTACGATCCACGCTCACGGCACCATTGATAAGCTTTAGTTATCCAGAAGTATAAGAACTCTCTGTAAAACTCTCTTTTATAAATTCAATAAGATTGTACAAGCTTTGCGTATGAGTTCTAAAAAACTCTCATGGCGATAATTGCAGAAATCATCAGTCTCATAGCGACTGTAAATTATTGACTCATATCGCCAAATACAGTTAACAAGAAGTAACAACTCCACTACTATTTATTCAAATCTTCAACGGCCGAGCTCTCCACTTTAACCATAAACCTTCTGTCTCTTTCCCAGCCTTTACTTCTGGCTTCTTTCTCAAACCCTCCGTTTCTCTCAGATTCTCTCTCAAACCTTATGTTTCTCTAAGTCTTTCCTTCCCTCTATCTCATTTAAATCCAACGTAAAATCTCCTAAATCCTCCTCTGCATTCTTAACCTTCTCTTGCTTTTTCTTCTTCCTGTAATACGTCTGTCGATACTTATCAAGTTCAATCCGTTTTGTAAAGTGTGTTTGTTTCTTTTATGCTATTGCTGTGGCAGGTGGCCAATTCATACGATCAAAAGCCATACCACCGGATAATGATGCAAACATGGGGAGCAAAGGTTCATCCATCACCATCTGATCTCACTGAGGCAGGTAGAAAAATCCTTGAATCCGACCCAACAAGTCCGGGAATTTTAGGCATTGCCATCTCAGAAGTTGTTGAAGTTGCAGCAAGAAACGAGGACACAAAATACTGTTTAGGAAGTGTATTGAACCATGTGTTATTACACCAGACTGTTATTGGAGAAGAATGCATAAAGCAGATGGAAGATTTAAGCGAAACGCCTGATCTGATCATAGAATGTACTGGTGGAGGATCAAATTTTGCTGGTTTGAGTTTTCCTTTTATCCGTGAGAAACTCAAAGGCAATATCAGCCCTGTTATAAGAGCTGTTGAGACCTCTGCTTGTCCTTCCTTGACTAAAGGAGTTTATGCTTATGATTTTGGAGATACAGCTAGATTTACTCCTTTGATGCAGATGCATACTTTAGGACATGACTTCATTCCTGATCCTATCCATGCCAGTAATAAATTAAAATTTTAAACCCAGGATTTTGCATACACCAACAACCCTAAGCTTCTCCAGCTCTTACCTGCTCGATTTGTTTGTTTCTTGATTATTGATTCTTGTTTTATTATCCGCTTTTGATTTCTCCATGCAAGTATTAAGGAAATAAGCGTTTAAGCCTTTTGCTTCTTGAGTCTTGTTTTCTTGATTCTTGATTTCCACTCTTTTGTCTATGGTTTTGATAGGTGGATTACGGTACCATGGGATGGTACCCTTGATCTCACATTTTTATGATCAAGGTTTCATGGAAGCAATCTCAATTCCGCAAGTCGAATGTTTCCAAGGTGACGCAATATATCAAGTCTCAATTTCGAAATTAATAGTTCCAAGTTTACTCCCTTATATAGTTGCATTTAACTGTAATATCAACTTACTGATCTAATTTTATTTGCAGGTGCCATTCAGTTTGCAAGAGCAGAAGGGATAATACCAGCGCCGGAACCAACTCATGCCATTGCAGCAACAATAAGAGAAGCTCTCTGATGCAAACAAACATGTGAAGCAAAAGTGATACTAATGGCAATGTGTGGTCATGGCCACTTTGGTCTTTCCTCTTACGACAAGTATTTAAAAGGTGAATTTGTAGATTTGTCATTCAGTGAAGAGAAGATACGAGAGTCTTTTTCTAAGGTTCCTCATGTTGTTTAGCTCCAAAGCCCCATATTCTGAACCAGGTGTGTGAAATAAGTTAGGGCATTCCCATGGCTTTAAATAAAGAGTGAGAGAGAGAGGTAACGACTGCAATAATGGACGCAATGTTCCACAGACAATTTGAAATGACAGCCGTATTTAGCTTTCTATTCCAAAATAATACGATGAAGAATTCCTCAATGAACGATGTTATGGTTGCGGTTCACTCCTTCCTAAACAGGTTTATGTCTCATGGAGTTAATGTGACGATTCTTATTTTGAACCCTAACATAACAGATGCTCAAACTATGAGGGATTTTCGGCCCATATCCTGCAGTACACTATAGAAAATCATTTCAAAGTTGATTGAAAAGCGTTTAAAATTCCTGCTTCCTAAGGCTATAGTTCTCAATCAAAGTGCTTTCATCCAAGACTGGCTTCTACTAAAAAATGTTTTGTTTGCTACTGAAATGTTAAGGACTAAGATAAGGACACTAATTCTTGTGGGAACCGAGATTCACACTTGTCGATTTCCGTAAAATAAGGAAAGTTAGGAAAACCCTAATTTTCCAGAGGAACCGGATCTCTGCGAAAGCCAACGACAAGTAACCAAGAACGCGATTAGTATGAATAAATTGAAAGATATAAAAAGAAAAACGAGATTGAGAGCAAGAAAGATTATTATTCCGAATTCGCGTAAGAACGGTTACAACGAGAGTTGCCTTAGCTGCGTGAGCCATCGGCAAAATTCCTAGTTCCAGCAATCTAAGACTAAAACCCTAGTTGAGACGCAGCTCGATAACGAAAACAGAAAATTGCCTAAATGCTAAGTTTGGTGGTGAAAGCTCTGAAAACTCGTCCCTTGCTTCTGCCCTAGACCCCTTATTTATATACTCCTCGCCTTGGCCATCCGATCTTTCCATTTCGCCCAGATTTGACTATATCGGGAATTTTCCATTTTTCTCAATCCTTCCTTTTCTTCCGCGGAAATCTTCTATTTTTCTTCAAACCTTCCTTTTATCTTCAAACTTGACTTTTATTTTCCTCCTGCGAGTAAACCGTCAAAACGTTATCAAATCTGCGGGTTAGATTCCGTTAAGATCGCGAGATGGGTTTTTATCGCGTTTTAGGCCCTTCCGGGCCATTTTTGCGATGAATCCGTTTTCCGACTTTTTACGGGATCGTTTCCTGATCTGACGTCGTTTTTAATAAATTCCTCGAGCTAATCGTAAGGTTTTACGATTTACTCGACTTTTTAATTAAAAACGCGTTTTCTACGATTTACTCGACGTTTTTATTAAAAACGCGTTTTTACGATTTCGACGAGAAATCTCGAATAAATCGTATGTTTTAGGCAATGTTCGATGTTTCGTCAATCGTCGCCGTTTTATACGATTTCTTCGAGTTCTTTATCGAGAAAGCGAAGTTTTACGGTTTTTATCGTAAAACTCGAACGATAGGTCGGATCGAGATGAAACGGGAGATGTTTCGGCCGTGGTTCAGAATGCGACCGTGTCGAAAGACGTAAGTTTCAAATCGGGAATGCGGGAGAACGAGGCTCGGGACGTCCAGGAAGTTTCTAGTTCGCCCATCGGCGAACTAAGCCGGGCCGGCTTCGTATGCCGATGGGCGAACTAGTTGAGTGATCCTAGTTCGCCCATCGGCGAACTAACCCGGGCCGACTTAGTTCGCCCGATGGGCGAACTAGTCGTGTGATCCTAGTTCGCCCATTGGCGAACTAAGCCGGGCCGACTTAGTTCGCCCATTGGCTAACTAAGCCGGCTCGGCTTAGTTCGCCTGTGGGCGAACTAGTCGTGACTAGTTCGCGTTTTACGGCTGTTTCGGTTTTTTGCGGTTTCGTAAAACGATCTTCGAGTTTTATAAAACGATCTTCGAGTTTTATAAAACGATTCTCAAGTTTTATAAAAAGATCTTCGAGTTTCATAAAACGATCTTCGAGTTTTATAAAATGGCTTCTTGAGTTTTATAAAACGATCCTCGAGTTTTATAAAATGATCTTCGAGTTTTATAAAACGGTTCATTGAGTTTTATAAAACGATTCTCGAATTTTATAAAATGATTCTCGAATTTTATAAAACGATCCTCGAGTTTTATAAAACGATTCTCGAGTTTTATAAAATGATCCTCGGGTTTTATAAAACGATTCTCGAATTTTATAAAACAGTCCTCGAGTTTTATAAAATGATCCTCGAGTTTTATAAAACGATTCTTCGTGTTTTACAAAACTATTCCTTTTATATTTCTGCGGGGAGTTTCGGCTGTTGATTCCGTCGTACCGATTTTGACCCCAACAGTTAGCCCCCCAGCTCGTAAGAATCTTGAGCCTTTAGCGTAAGGTTCTTGCGAGTGGTTAACCAGTTTTAGTTAAGTTAGGCGAAATTAATGGTCGGAAAGGTCCGTTGAAAGTGAAGGCTGCCTACGTACCCTTTTGAGGGGATCAAGCCTTTCGTAGTTCATTTCGGAGTTAAGGTTCGTATGACCTGTTTCCCAGCAAGACCTTTACGGTCTAGTTATATGTTTACCGAGCATATTGATGTCGATGGCATCTTGACCTTTGCCGGCCTTGAGACTAGCCTCGTAGGCCATTTGGTCTGGCTGAGCGTGGCCGTTATAGTTTTCGGACTGGCCGTGTGCGGCTCTGAGTCCCTGCCGCTTTTGCGGCTTTATTAAAAATCAGTTTGCGTTTTTAAGAGCGTGTTTTTATTCGTATGAATGTAGCGGGAAGATTATGAGTTGATACTGAGGGAGGTCCGCGAGTTGTCGTCTCGCATTCCTTTTTCCCTTAGTGTATTGCCTTGTTCGTTTGCCCGTTTTAGGATATTTAGTAAATCTAGTGAGCGTTTAGATATAGACGAAGAGACATGCCTTTAGGATCTCGATTCATGCCTTGAGACGTTAGCGACCAGTGTGCTGGGTTTAGGGCAAGACCTAGGTTTACTTTCGGATTGAGGCTATGCGATGACTAGTCGGCTTTCGTTTTGCCTGTTGCGATTTTAACCTGATTCCATACCGATTTAGAATCTGCGATAGGNTTTAGGACTGTTGCGAGTTTGTTGTGATCAGCAACAAACTTTTTAGGCGATAAATGTTTACGTTGTTTTGGCCTTCGCGAAGGATACGTACGTTAAGAAGTTTTGCGTAATTTTATAGTCGCGGACGGACTGTTAGGTCTTCCAAGAAATGACTTTATCGAGGAAGGTATTTGTGTCGAAAAACTAATCTTCGGGCGTCCGCGACGTCTCGCAGTGCCGAAAGTTGGTTTTTATTTTATATGCCGCGTTTCGTGTTCGGAACGTTTGCGCAGTGTTGCGAGGGTTTTGTCTTAACCCTGCTTTGCAGGAACACTTTGGTTTGTTTGCGTATACTCGCAATTAAAACTAACATTCCTGTTTGGATGTTAGGTAGTTTTATGATTTGTGCTAGAGCAATTAGGACTGAGAGGTTGCGTAAGTTGTTTCCCCGAAACGAAGGGTATTATACGTCGGTTTTTGTACCGAGATTCACACTTGTCGATTTCCGTAAAATAAGGAAAGTTAGGAAAACCCTAATTTTCCAGAGGAACCGGATCTCTGTGAAAGCCAACGACAAGTAACCAAGAACGCGATTAATATGAATAAACTGAAAGATATAAAAAGAAAAACGAGATTGAGAGCAAGAAGGATTCTTATTCCGAATTCGCGTAAGAACGGTTACAACGAGAGTTGCCTTAGCTGCGTGAGCCGTCGGCAAAATTCCTAGTTCTAGCAATCTAAGACTAAAACCCTAGTTGAGACGCAGCTCGATAACGAAAACGGAAAATTGCCTAAATGCTAAGTTTGGTGGTGAAAGCTCTGAAAACTCGTTCCTTGCTTCTGCCCTAGACCCCTTATTTATATACTCCTCTCCTTGGCCATCCGGTCTTTCCATTTCGCCCATATTTGACTATATCGGGAATTTTCCATTTTTCTCGATCCTTCCTTTTCTTCCGCGGAAATCTTCTATTTTTCTTCAAACCTTCCTTTTATCTTCAAACTTGACTTTTATTTTCCTCCTGCGAGTAAACCGTCAAAACGTTATCAAATGTGCGGGTTAGATTCCGTTAAGATCGCGAGATGGGTTTTTATCGCGTTTTAGGCCCTTCCGGGCCATTTTTGCGATGAATCCGTTTTCCGACTTTTTATCGGATCGTTTCCTGATCTGACGTCGTTTTTAATAAATTCCTCGAGCTAATCGTAAGGTTGTATGATTTACTCGCCTTTTTAATTAAAAATGCGTTTTTTACGATTTACTCGACTTTTTTATTAAAAACGCGTTTTTTTATGATTTCGACGAGAAATCTCGAATAAATCGTATGTTTTAGGCAATGTTCGATGTTTCGTCAGTCGTCGCCATTTTATACGATTTCTTCGAGTTCTTTATCGAGAAAGCGAAGTTTTACGGTTTTTATCGTAAAACTCGAACGATAGATCGGATCGAGATGGAACGGGAGATGTTTCGGCCGTGGATCAGAATGCGACCGTGTCGAAAGACGTAAGTTTCAAATCGGGAATGCGGGAGAACGAGGCTCGGGACGTCCAGGAAGTTTCTAGTTCGCCCATCGGCGAACTAGTTGAGGCCCGGCTTAGTTCGCCGATGGGCGAACTAGTCGTGTGATCCTAGTTCGCCCATTGGCGAACTAGTCGAGCATCTCCTAGTTCGCCCATTGGCGAACTAAGCTGGGCTGGCTTTGTTCGCCAATGGGCGAACTAGTCGAGTGTCTCCTAGTTCGCCCATTGAAGAACTAAGCCGGCTCGGCTTAGTTCGCCCGTGGGCAAACTAGTCGTGACTAGTTCGCGTTTTACGGCTGTTTCGGT